TGTGAGAGGCAACCTATCAATGTATCTCTCACATGTTTCTCTCCCTCTCTTTCTCACTCCCTTCCCCTCTCTCAAAAAGTAAATAAATAAAATCTTTAAACACCCCTCAAAGCAACAAAACTCTTCTTCTTTTTTTTTAAAGTGTTAAACAGAAATAGTACAGATACTGTTAAAAGTAAGTGCGTAAGTATAAATTATCAGACTGCAACACCTCTTCAGAAGCTAGTCATCCTTTGGTATCTTTTTCAGTTTTTTCAGGACCAAATAAACTTTACCCTTTAATGTGAAATGACTGTTATAAGGCCTTCTTTTAAGGATGTTATAAGAGATTGAAAGGAGAATACATGGATGCTTTTGTGTAAAAACCGTCCTGTGAAATATCCTCCCTGTTTTAGGTTTTTTGTTTTTTTTTTTTAAATAAGCTCTTTTCTTAATACTTTAGTAGAATATAGATCTTTAGAGCAGCCAGTATTTCTTAGAAGGATTGAGTCCTTTATGAGGGAATACCTCTCCAATTAATAGATATACTATTTTTTTAGCTGTACATTCATTCAAATATTTATTGAGCATCTGCCATTAGCCATGTACTTTTTCTAATCACTGGGTACACTACCGAGAACAAAGCAGAGAAACCCTTGCCTTTGTGATGCTTCCTTTTTGGAAGGGGCAGACAAATAAAAAAGATATGAAGATTGTCAGTTAATGGTGAGTACTTATGAAAAAAATAAAGCAGAAAAGGGAGACTGATAATGAGTAGAGAAATTGTAATTTCAAGTAGGGTAGCCAGTGAAGACCTTGCTGAGGAAATGATATTTGAATAAGGACCCCCAAAGTGATTTTGCTGATTCTGTGAGCATTGGAAAAACTGCAACCTGGAATCAGCCACTGCTGCTGTTCAGGGGAAGGTCCACTGCCAGGGTGACTCAAACAGACAAGTAGAGAACTAACAGGGAGGAACAGGTCCCTTCTTCCTCTTCTAGTGCTGCACTTTAGCTCCACTTAAGACAGACTATCCAGCAGCAGCTGGCAAAGCAGAAACATGGTTTACAGAGTCCCGTCCTCAGCAACACCTAGCAGGGTAGAGAAGGGTGGTGTTGGAGCCAAGAGACAACTATTTTACGTATTGTAAAATTGATGTTCAAAAGTTAGTGCTCATGCCCTAGATGGTGTGGCTTAGTGGATTGAGTGCTGGCCTGCAAACCAGGGGGTTGCCAGTTCGATTCCTGGTTAGGGCACATGCCTTGGTTGTGGGCCAGGTCCCCAGATTGGGGCATGTGGGAGGCAACCAGTCAATGTTTCTCCCATACATTGATGTTTCTTTCCCTCTCTTACCCTCTCTCTAAAAAGAAATAAAATCCTTTTTTTTTTTTATGATTTTATTTATTTTTAGAGAGAGGGGAAAAGAAGGACAGAGGCAGAGAAAAATCAATGTGTGGTTGCCTCTTGTGTGCCCCCTACTGGGGACTTGGCCAGCAACCCAGGCATGTGCCCTGACTGGGAATCCAACCGGTTACCCTTTGGTTCACAGACCAGCACTCAATCCACTGAGCCACACAACCAGGGCTAAAAATAAATAAAATCTTAAAAAAAAAAACACAACACGTTTAACAAAAGTTAGTGCTCATGTTGCATGGCTAAGAAGAGCAGAACGTTGGCTTGGATGAGAATTTGACACCATATCTGTAATCTTTCTTCCAATCCATAAGAATGCTCCAAACTGCAAAGTTACTTAACTTCCATCCAATCCTTATATTTGAAGGGTCATAAACAGATTGAAACCAAGTGACCTGTGAGTAGTTAGGAGCCAATAGTGACAAAAACTGAAAACAACTTCCTGCTTGCTTTAACCTTCCTTTCCTGGCTTGCTTCCCAAAATTGCTAGCTGTGTGCCCCTTGCTCTCTACCATGCCTCCTACCCCCACTGCTTTTGTTAATGTCATTTTCTTTGTCTGTAGTACCTTGTCCCTTTTTCCCCCTATACACTCTCTGATCCTCCAGATTCTTCCATTCTTTGACTCAGCTTAAATAGCACCTCCTTCAGGAAGCCTTCCGTTATCATACAAACTCAAACCAAACCAAAGTTCCCTTTGTTTGAATACCATTATCACTTGGTATTTTTATTTCTCACAACCACTTTCTGCTTCATAGTGATCCTTCTCTCATTGCTCATTTAAGTGTTGGTGCTTGCCAATATTTCTATCCTCAGGTTTTTGTCTTACTGTCCATACTCTCCCCAGGCAGCCTCATCCACATGCAAGGCTGCATCCGCCGCTTGTGTGTGCATTAGTGGTTCCCTATCTCCATCTTCAGCCAGGCCACCTTACCAGGTATCCAGATATATTTACCAACCTGTTTCATGGACATTCAGCTGCCCTACTATCCCTTAAACTCAGTGTGTCTAAGAGAGAGATTAGTTTCCTTTTCCTAAAACACTCTCCTCCCCTGTAATCACTGTATTGATAAATGGCAGCAGCAGCATCAACCCAGACAGGCAGCACTCTAAGTAGACATCTTCAATTTGTTGCTCACAATACAGATTATTATTGAGTTGATGATTCAGTCTCCTAAATCTACCAAGGCAGCCTCCTTGGTGCTGCTCCCTTAATTCAACCCTTAATATCTCTAACCTAGACCTTTGCAGTAGCACATTAGCTGCTACTAACCATTCTTCCTTCCTTTTACTGTATTTGCTACCAGAAAAATCCTGGGTATTATTGATCATGTCACTCCCCTGCTCACATCCTTGAAGGTTTCTGTTGCCTTGGTTGGGGCTCTTGACTTGCCCTTTTCACCTTGTTTCCTATCCTCCCCTGTGTTCCATATACCCTGTTCTCCCCTACCTACCCCAGACTGGTTACCTCTCTCTCTGAGTACACCATGCCTGTTCCTCCCTTTTGTGGCTAAAAAAACCTTCCTGCCTTTGGGAGGAGTATGGTGTGTCTTTGGAGCCTAACACTTAGGATGTGCAATAAATCCAGGCTCTACTATTTACTAGCTATGTGGTTGCAGGCAGGTCACCTAAATCCTCTTAGCCTCAGTTTCCCTTATCAAGAACAGAGTACCTTCCAGTTGAATCATCATGAGGTAACATATGATGAATGTTCTAGCACTGTGTCTCAGAGTTCTTTGTTTTTCACTACTTCCCTAAACTTTGTCCACATCTAACATCATGTCTCCACCTGGCTCACCCTTGCAAATTCTGCCTTTTCTTTTCCCCCCGGTCAGAATTAGGCATTCCTTCTCTGAGCTCTTGTGGTAACTGATACTGTGACATACATGATCATTTATCCGTCTCCATGCTCAGCTGGGAGCAACTCATAGGTAGGAATCAGTTCTGTATCATTCAAAGTCTGCTGTCCATTATTTATGTACATGTCTGCCCCTAAACTAGCTGGAAGCTTCTGGAAGATGGAGTTTTTATCTGATTTGTATCTTTAAGCAGCTAGCTGAATGCTGGGCATCCCTAAGTATTTTGTGAATGGGGAAGTTAACAAAGTACTCATTTCCACAGCTAAGAAGGTAATGATGAGAAACACACGTAGGAGCAGTAGAAGATAACCTGAAAATTCTCTTAATTGAGTTGTATGACAGTACAGCAGTTCTCTGAGTCATATATTTGTTGGTAATAAATTTCTGCATACCAGTCCTACTGAAGAAAACTTGTTTTCCTTCATTCAGTCTCTCTAACTTAGCCCATCTAGTATGATACACGCCTCTTGTACACTGTTTTTAGCCCATTTTTAAAAACACTGTATCTATAACTTTTATATACAAGTGACTCTTCTGCATTTTCCCATTGAGAGAATCTACTCAAATTTATTTCCTAGTGTCTTATCAAATTGAGTCTATAATTTTCTAAGGCAAATATACTTTTTTTTTTTCATTCTGAGCATATTTCAGGCAATAGGCTAAATTTAAGACCATGATCAGCATCCTTTTATGCATAATATTCATAAATAACTTCAACTGTTTCTCAACTGCAAAAATTTAAAATTTCTCTGTTTATGGAGAAAGTGGGATTTTTACCTCTATAGTTGCTTCAGTTAAAAGAACTATGAGTCCTGACCAGTGTGGCTCTGTTGGTTGGGCATTGTCCCTCAAAGCAAAAGGTTGCTTGTTCGATTCCCAGTCAGGGCATGCCTGGGTTGCAGGTTTGGTTGCAGGTTCAGTCCCCCATTGGCGCATGTGTGAGAGGCAACCGATCAATTTTTCTCTCTCACATCCGTATTTCTCTCCCTCTCTTTCTCCCTCCATTCCCCTCTCTCTAAAAATAAATAAAATCTTTTTTAAAAAAAGAAAGAAAGGAAAGAAAAGAAAAGAAAAGAAAAACTAGTCTGGGGTGCAGGGAAGATGTCAAGAGTCTTTCAGGTATGACCTATACATAGGTCACAAAGTATAGTTATAATGCTACACTACTCTTGTCTTTTTTTTTTCCCCCACTCCCAAAGTCCCTGTCACCCAGGAGAACTACTGCTCCTCTTGCCCCCAGAGTGGCTGTTCTGAAAGTACCTCCTATCCCTTTCCTGAGGTCTCCTCTGCACGTCCAGGAGGGCTTCTTGATGAGCCAATAAGAACTTTGTTCCCTCCATTCTCCTGCCCTCATTCCCACATTGTCTTATCTTCTTTCCACGGGCACACTCTTGTGGCTCACACTGTAGGAGCCCAGCTCCTGGAGAGTGTTGAACTGTGGTTGCTTGGTTTGTAGCAAGAGGAACTTTGTTTTTCCTCATCTCATTTATCACTTCCCAAAGCTGAAGGAGACCCTCTATAAAAGATAGTTTGGTTCTATCCTATTATAGCATTTATTTTCTGGTAACTTGGTTTCTCTCTCTTGTTCTTAATAAAATGTCATGAGAGGAAAATGTACATAGCCCACAAGTAACTTATAATCCATTAGTGTATGTACGTAGTCCACAAATAAGAAACAGCACTGAGAATCAGTGTGAACTTTGTCTTTCAATTCCAAACACCATATAACAAGTTCTTTTCCCTCCTATCAGACTAATTTTAACACCATTTCCAGGATGGATGAACAAACACATATAAGCTATGAGGACCCTGTGGACTTTTCTGATACTTACCATTCTAATGAAGAATATTTCAGGAAGCTAGAAGAGCTGAAGGCTGCCTACATGGAAACTATGGCAAAGTTGGAGAAAATGTATCAGAATAAATTAAAGTTAAAGGACGTTCAGCCAGTGATAATTAGGGAAGGAGCTTCTCGTGTCTCTTCCACGTAAGTTTATACATAATGTTATTTGTGGGATATAAAATAAAATATAAATGTAAAAGTGCAAAACAATTACTTCAGAATATTTTCTCTCAAGTGTCCCTTTGTACTTTTAATTATATATGGATGAGGGATTTTATTCAAACTGTTTAATGCCTTATCAACCTACTAGGTGGCTTCTTGCTTCAGGGGTTATTTGGTGGCCATTTGGTCTTTTCTCTCTGACCTATCATTCATAGAACTATAGACAAGTATGAGAATATTTAGTCTGGGCCATTTTTAGATGATGAATATTAAAATATAATTTTCAAAGCTCTATTATGTGGATTAACATGAGCTTCTTAAAGATGCAGTACAAAGAGTTTAGGACTAAGACATAAATTGGATTCAAGTTTTCAAAATAGTCTTCAAATTCAAGACCTATTTCTGTTATAAACGCCTTTGTTTTGAAACTTGAGGCAAGTCCCTTAACACATCCAGTTGTTCTACACTGATTGTGCATCTCCTGTGTTCTAGATCTTGCCTGGACACTAGGGAGTCAAAATTGAGATGCCCTCAAGGAGATCAAGGACTAGCTAAGAACCAAAAATTGCAATACAACATGATGTAACAGTATTATAGAGACAGAGGGAAAAGCAGTTGATTATGTCAAGCTGTCAGTGTATGGGGGGCACAGGCAGGAATTTTCTACCAAAATGTCATATCTGAGTTGTCTTTGGGGCAGGGGCAGGTAGCTGCAGCAAATTCAGGAAGCAAGGAGTGGCCTTCTAAGCAGCCAAAACCATATGTGCAAAGGCATGATGGCATAAGAAATCATGTGTGTGAGGAACTTCACATGATTGGATATGACTTAGAATGGTGATTGGGGTAAGGAGAAGTGAGAGGTGAAAGAGGAAAGGTAGGCAGGGGCTAATATTAAAGGGCTTTATAATATATACTTGACTTTATAACAATGACAAATCATGGAAAAGTTTCAAGAAGGAGAGTGACATGATTAGATGTATATTTTAAAATTCCAGATGTATATATTCTAGAAAACATGTGGATAATTCAATTCAGAGGTTAGACACAGGGAGCCTCAACTGTGTCATGTTCTTCCCTTATAAAATGAGGGTGTCAGATTAGATAATTTATAGGCATATTCCAGCTCTATTCTAAATGAAAGTAACAATTTTTACAAGCCAGATCTTATCTTCTGATTATACCTTGATCTAAGAAAATGTATAATTCTTAATTTTTATATTTGGTCTCATAAAACTGAAAGTATAACCTAATTATTATTCTCACTTAGGTCTGTATCGGAAAAGAACTCCTACCACCCTATCTCATTAATCACATCGCTTTCAGAACCTGATTTAGGTCATTCTTCCTCCTTGACTGTGTCTTCCTCTGAAGATGAATTGCCCAACTTAGTAAAAGAGTATCCTGAGAAAAACAGAATGATGACCTATGCTAAGGAACTCATCAACAACATGTGGACAAACTTTTCTGTTAAAGAGTACATTCAGTGTAAAGATGATGACTTCCCAGCAGTTACAAAAACAAAGAAGAAACCAAAAGAGTGGGTGCCAAAAATTACAGTACCTGAGCCTTTTCAAATGATGATTAGAGAACAAAAAAAAAAAGAAGAGAACATGAAATCTAAATCAGATATTGAAATGGTACGCAAACTACTCAGAAAACAAGAAGAAGATTCAGAGTGTAAGAAAAAATTCCGAGCCAACCCAGTTCCAGCATTTGTCTTTCTACCCCTTTATCATGATATAGTCAAGAAAAATGAAGAACGGAGGAGGACTATGAAGGAGAAAAACAAAGAATTTCTTTTGGCTTCACAAAAGCCATTTAAGTTTATTGCAAGGGAGGAACAGAAGCAAGCAGTCCGGGAAAAGCAGCTGAGAGACTTTTTTAAGTCTAAAAAAAACACAAATCGATTTAAAGCCAGACCTATACCTCGATCTACTTATGGTTCAGCTACCAATGACAGGTTAAAAGAAGAAGAGTGCTACAGAAACATTAAGACACAGCTGAGAGCCCCAGAACTTTTACCAAATTCATCCCCTCTGCCTTGTAGACCAGCTCACAGAAGTTTTGCTGCAAGGAAGCCCAAGTATCCTGAACAGGCTGAGAAGTTGAAGTGTAAATACAAGTGTAGGATCCAGACTGCTGATTTTGGAGAACTTCCTGAGAGAAATCAAAAACACCTTTTAGAACAGAAATGTCCAAAACTCCTAACAGCCTGTAAACCATCTGATCTTCATGCAGCCTCACAGGCATCCACTAAAAGAGAGAAAATTTTGGCAGATCTTGAAGCAGATGATGAAAATTTTAAAGAAATGCGTTGGCCTTGTGTATCTCTAAAGCACAAGTCACCAGTAAGAAGTCCAAATGCAAAGCCTATGCCTTGTAACTGCAACCCTCCAATGCCCACAATAGCTTCCAGAGGAAGAGAACAAGCCACAAGGTAAATAACTAGGATACAGTACTGACTTGACTTATGGTCCCTAACATAGCATATGCAGCACTATTTGATTTTACATTGGTGAATTTGAAAATATGGAGAAATTATTATATCTGGTAATATATTTTACTCTGTGATATAGAACATTTTGTTAGAGGGAGTGCTAAAAATGTATTTTCCATTTAATTAATCCATGGGAATAAAAAAGCCTATTGATTTCTAATTTTACAAGTCAGATCCTTCTCAAAAGGTTGCCTTTTTTCAACCTTTGGTTTATCCTGTGTTAAATCTTTGCTAGCAACATTCTCATTGGCTTAAAGTGAATTAAGCCGTAGTTTGTTGCCCTCAGGAGATCACTTGAGGAAAAGAAAATGTTGGAAGAAGAGCGAAATCGGATCCTAACAAAGCAGAAGCAAAGAATGAAAGAATTGCAGAAACTCCTGACAACCCGGGCTAAGGCTTATGACTCACATCAAAGTTTAGCTCAAATGTCTAAATCCAGAATAAAATCTTTCAGGTATCATGAAAAAATCCTGAACCTCCAGACCACTGGTTTTCAAACTTTCTTTTTTTAATCAGTAGACACCAATATATGAACAGATTAAGTGACTATTAGTATTTTAGTTTCTGGATTCAAGTTACTATCATTTATTTATACTCAAAACACACTCATACACTCATGTTCATTCACTTCATGATGCAAATCAATATGTATACTCAACTGATGGTGAGGACTATGAAGTCATGTTGAACAGAATGTTTTTTATATTATGACCATAGTTAATACAGTTTTATGTCAGTATTTCATCTTTTTCTTTATATTAGTTTTGATTGCACAATACAGTATTAAGAAAAACCTTGATTCACACAGATAAATTCTTTTTTAAAATTTTTTTAAAAAATATTTATTTTTAAAGAGGGGAGGGGAGGGAGAAAGAGAGGGAAACATCAATGTGTGGTTGCCTCTCATGCTCCCCCTACTGGGGACCTGGCCTGCAACACAGGCATGTGCCCTCCGAGTGAGAATCAAACCAGTTACCCTTTGGTCCTCAGGCCTGTGCTCAATCCACTGAGCCACACCAGCCAGGGTGATAAATCTTTTTTTTAACATCCTGCTATGTAATCTCAGAATATTCTTTAATAAACAGATATATGAAAGAGCTTTGTTCTAAGGTTTGCATGAAATTTGGTAGCACAAATTAACACATTGGTGTTAACATCAATTATAAGTGTCAGTTAACACATGTATTAATGTTTAGAGGTATGTGTTGCATTTTGTCATGACTTAAATATAAATAAATAAGAATATTCACAGAACACTGGAATTATGCAGAACAAAGTTTGAAAACCAGTGTTCCAGAGGAACATTTTTATGTTGCAAATAAACATAAAAATGTTCATGTTTAAGTTGGAAAATAGCTCTCTCAAAGCTGGGTAAGTAATATGATTTATTAATTTTTAATCTGATCTGTAAATAACCCCACAATTTATATTTCCTTTAAATTATAAGTATTTCTTTTTAAATGTATGTTATATATAATTCTATTCCTTTATAATATATTATGTATATATTCCTTATAATTTCTATCAATGTAATTTATTGATAGAAGGAGTTTAATTTGATGAACTTGAGCAAAAAATTCCTTAGAAATATACTATTCATCCTTAGAAAGTAAACTGGATTTTTCATAATATGACCTTATATATAATTAAGCATAATTATCATTTTATAGTATAATTATTTTCTCTAATCCATTAAATCTTATTATCTTGGTAGCATTAGTATATTTTACATAAAGAAAGTAGCATAGTTTAATTTATTATAGGATCTTGCCCAAATAATAAATACACTTACTGTGAATTTACATATTTTGGTTCCTATTCCTATGTTATAATCACATACTCCCCATTTCTCCCCTGACCTGTTCTCATTTATTAACTTTGCCACCAACGTATAGCAGATCTCATTTAAGGGAATAAAGAGCGAGGTCTTGTTTTTGGAAGAAATTCCTTAAAGAGAAGATACCTATACACTTATATAGGAGATAAGAAGGCATTCATTCACTTTTCGGGCCAGTTTGAAGCCTCTTAATACATTACATCTTGAAGATTTCAGAACCTTCAAAGTACAAAGACTGCTCCCAGGATGTAAAATGTGTGCTCTGAGAACCTAGACTTTTTATTGTGTTCCATAAATATTTACTAGTCTACAAAAGGCATGGTGGTAAATTGTAAATTATCTCATAATTTAATTTTTGATCGTCATTTAAGGTAAATGTTATATATGCAAGTTCTTATTTCTTTTTAAAATTTCATTCCTTTTATTTGATTTTAGAAAGAGTGAAAAGGAAAGAATGAGAGAATACCGACGAGACCTAGAAGAAAGAGAAGAAAAATTAAAAACCAGGCCATTACTATTTGAAAGAGTTGCTCAGGTTGTGTTTGTTAGAATTTAAGATTTGTCAGTTTTTTTTAACATCTCCAGCCCTAATTTACAGTCCATTTTTCTTAGTGCTATATAATGTATTAAGACATATTGTTTCTGTGACAGCTTCATCAAATCAGTCAAGTAAGTAAGTTTGCCAAAATCTGAGTATGGAATCTTGATGAGGCACATAAGCTTGATAAAAAAACAAAACAAAACAAACAAAAACATGCTGCTAATCTACTTGTTTGCAATATTAATAGTTTCACAAACTGTTTTTAATGGCTGGTCTATTTTCAGGACCAGCTTGGCCAGATGTTAAGTTAAGCCTTCATGATATGATTTGGAGGTCTTTGAAGAAAAAAGGAGACAAAATGGCTAATTGAATCATATTTATTTCTGCCAGTGTTTGTTTTTTTTTTAATTGAGATATAACTGACATACAACATTGGATAAATTTAAAGTGTATAGCATAATGTCTTGACATACATAAATTGCAAAATGATTACCGTAATAAGTTTAGTTAACATCTATCACCTCATATATTTACAAAAAATTTTTTTTCCTTGTGATGAGAACAGTTAGGATTTACTCCGTTAGTGGCTTTTATATGTCCCATATATAGTTATCATGTTCTACATTACATCACCAGTACTTAACTATTTTATAACTGGAAGTTTGAACCTTTTGACCACCTCCATCCAGTTCCTCCTGGTAATCACAAATATGATCTCCTTTAATTTTTTTAAATTAACTTATTTATTTTCAGAGAGAGGGGAAGAGAGGGAAAGAAACTTTGATGTGAGAGAGATACATTGATCAGTTGCCTCTCACATGCCTCCAACTGGGGACCCGACCCAGAATCCAGGCATGTGCCCTTACTGGGAATCGAACTAGTGACCTTTTGGTTCAGAGGCCAGCACTCAATCCACTGAGCCATGTCAGCCAGGGCTCCTTTTTTTTTTTTTTTTTTTTTTTTTTTAAATATTCACCTGAAGATATGTTGTTTTTTAAAACTGATTTTAGAGAGGAAGGGTGAGAGGGAGAAACTTCAATGTGGGAGAGAAACATTGGTCTGTTTCCTCCTATATGTGCCCCACTGGGGATTGGACCCCACAAACTAGGTATGTGCCTAACTGGGGATAGAACCTGCGACCTTTGGGTATATGGGACAACACTCCCACCAACTGAGCCACCCAGCCAGGGCTATGATCTCCTTTTTCATGAGATTTTTTTTCTTTTGTAGATTCTGCATATAAATGAAATCATACAGTATTTGACTTTTTTAATATTTTTGTCTGACTTATTGTACTTGGTATAATGCCTTCAAAGTCCACCCATTCTGTTGCAAATGGCAGGGTTTCCTTGTTTTTATGGATATTATTCCAGTGTGTATCTATACCATATTCTCTTTTTCTATTCATTTTTCAATGTACTCTTAGGTTGTTTTCTTTCTTGGTTACTGTAAATAATGATGCGATGAAAGTGGAGTGCAGATATCCCTTTGAGATAGTGATTTTGTTTTCTTCAGATATATATCCAGAAGTCAAATTGCTGGATTATATAGTTGCTCTATTTTTAATTTTTTGAGGAACTTCCATACTATTTACTATAGTGGATTACTACATTAGTACATATATTGGTACATAGTATATTAGTACATACAGTAATCCACTATATGTACTAATGTACTAATTTACATTTGTACCAACAGTTCACAAGGGTTTCCTTTTCTCCACATCATCACCAGCATTTATCTCTTGTCTTTTTGATAATAGCCATTTTAACCAGTGTAAGATATCTCATTGTGAGATATCACCTAATGATTTTCATTTCCCAATGATTATTCATGTTGAGCACCTTTTCATGTATCTGTCATCTATTTGAATGTCTTTGGAAAAATATCTATTTGGTCCATTGCCAACTTTTAAATAGGATTATCTGGCTTTTTGCTACTGACCTGTATGAGTACTTTATATATTTTGGATATTAACCACATACCAGACATATGATTTGCAAATATTTTTTTCCCATTCAGTAGGTTGCCTTTTCATTTTGTTGATCAGTTTTTTTTAAGTGAGTATACTTTTCAACCTTATCAACAATTACCGAAAGGATTTCCTTTTTATGGGAAATATTAAATTTGCAGCCAGTTTTCAGTTTTACAGTCTTTCCCTTTAGAGAGATTTGTCAATTTCAGATTATCTTCTCTTTAGTACCTAAATGGGAAAGGTTCCTATAGGTGACATAGCTTAACAATAGACAGAATCACTGGAGGTTATAGGTGCTGTATTGTGAATTTCAGGCTATTATATTTGGAGCTTTTTGCCAGCATATGCCTGGGACAGATGTCATTATAGGACTGTCTGTCAATGACTCATTGAGGACTAGGGACATGTTTTATGGGTGAATCTACATACTATAATCTCTCAAAGTTATGGGAACCCCTTACTTACTGATTTGGATATAATTTTATGTAGTGCTTGTCATTAAGGGGTGGGTTTCTTTTAACATCTCAGCTTCAACTTTAGGGGGGAAAAATGATAAACTGTTTTACATTACTCAGCACAAAGTGATTGACTTTGGTTCAAAACAGTTATCTGCAGCTCCCTAAATGCAGTTTTTTTGTCCTCTTGTTTGGTGGCTATATCCATTCAGAATTCCCACTGGCATTTTACATTCATTTTACCTTAACTAGATCCTCCTCTTTGACTTCTTGTTTTGATTGGGTCACTATTTAGATGACTAGGAACCACTTTTCCTCCCCATTCAGTTGTCACTGAGAGAACTGACAAATTTTCTTCTTAAATAATTTTTGGATCTGCTTTTCTCCACTACTGATAGAGAAATGCTAGTAAAACCTCTGTTATTCCCTAGCTGAGTTAATATAGTGGTTTGACTGGTTTTCCTGTCCTGTTTTTTGCAGAGCTACCCATTATATCTTTATTTTGCCATTCCCATTCCCTTCCAAAAATGTTAACCCTGGGTAGGTGTTTACTAACCCTTGATAATAGTGGCAATCATGACTTCACAGAGCCATTTATTCTCATTTTCAATGAATGGTATCAAGAGGTCTTGTCACTGACTTCTCCAAAAAATGTTTCAAGGTTGTTATTCCTATTATATATTGCAGAGGAAGAAACAAGTTCAAAGAAGGTAAGTAATTCATAAGATGTATAGTTATTAAGTAATGGAACTAGGATTGGAACCCAAGTCATTCTGCTTCCAAATACCACTGAGTTGTCCTGCTTTCTCCTAGAATATAACCACGAATCTTAACTTGGTATACAAAGTCCTCTATGATCTGATTCCTGTTAACCTCTTTAGTTTATCCACCACTGTGCTCCCCACAAGCCACACTATATACACCCTTTACTCTCAGGTCATACCAAACCACTAGTTTCAAACTTGAAATCTTTATTCATGCTGTTTCACTCGTAGAACCTCGTCCTATCTTTCCTCTTACTCTTTCAAATCTTAGTGTAAAATCACTTCTTGCATTGTTTCCCTGGTTGGGTTGGGTGCCCTTTCCTCTGTGTTCTTTTATTACCCTTTGCATACCTCTCTTTTAGTTCCTACCACATTGTGTGGAAATTATCTTAATGAGCTCTCTTTTCTTTCAGCTAGTTACTTTAATGTTTGTTTTTTTTAATCCTCACCTAAGGACATTTTCTTTTCATTGCTCTTTAGAGAAGAAGGGAGGGAGAGAGGGAGAGAAAGGAAGAGAGAGGGAGACATTGCTGTGAGACAGAAACATCAATTGGTTGCCTTCTCGTATTTACCCCAACCAGGCATCAAACCCATAACCTGGCCATGTGCCCAGGCTGGGAATCGAACCCATGACCTTTGGGTTTATGGGATGATGCTCCAAGCAACTGGGCCACACAAGCCAGGGACCAACTAGTTAACTTTTAAAGGTGGTGGCCAGATCTTTATATTCCCAGCACCTAGCACCTGGGACAACACCTAGCACAGAGGAGATGTTAATAAACTTTTTTTGAACCAAAACTGAACCATTATGATCAAATTAGCCAGATAATGACCTGTCATTTTCTTGCTGGGATTAGCCCAAGCTGAGAGCACTACCCCAACACATTAGTGATGAGTCTCAATGAGCATTAACAAGCAGTTTTGCCATGCTGTGAATTCCCGTTGTTTCTATGCACCAGAGAAAATGTGGCAAAACAAGAGGTGTGTATGAAATTAAACCCATAAAGAAACTTTAAATAGGTAAGTTTTATAGTTGATATTCTACCACTTTCGGCCTTCACCTATGCTATTCCCTTTGCCCAAAATACTTTTCCTATATACCCCCTATATCCCATGAGGGCTTGTCAAAAAAAATAAGTATTTAGTAATTATTAAATAAATGAAAGAATTGCTATAAACTAAACTTACAGTTATAAAAAATAAGTATTTTTTTTCCCCTTCAGTCTAGGGTGCTGATAGTAGACAAGTGTCATCACTTGGTTTCCTAAAGAAACAAAGCCAATTTTTTTTTTAACAGAGTGTTTGATAATAAAGTAAATAATCATAGAGTTATTTTAACTGTTCTTTTATCTCATAGTCTTTATCATTCTTTTCCATGGTGAAATGCAAGGGGGAAATGTTTGTTCCAATTAGGAACAACTACATGCTATTCACTTTGATATAAAATATTAAAAGATAGTTAATTCTATAGACCGAACAACTGGCAGTGATTCAACATTGCTTTGGTTTTGTTAACAGAAATCAGTACATTCTTCTTGCATTCTACTTTGCTGTGACTATTGGTGCTAATTAAGAACTGTTATGTAATAAATTCACTCACAGCTTCATGCATTACCTATTTGTATTAACTGTGGTCTTGCTGCTGTTGAGTTCTCCCCTAACAGAGCAAGCCTATGATCCAGTACAGAACAACCATGTCATGCTTCTTCTTGGAAATTACAGGGTTTATTAACTGAGTAGATATTAAATTGAATTTTAAACCAAATTCAGTTGAAGGTTTACAAGCACTAACTTTGATTAATATTTTTTTAAGATTTTATTTATTATTAGAGAGAAGGGAAGGGAGGAAGAAAGAGGGAGAGGAACATAAATGTATGAGAGATACATCAATCACTTGCACGCCCCCAACACAGGACCTGACCTGCAATCCAGGCATGTGCCCTGACTGAATCAAATCACAACCTTTTGATTTACAGACCGGCACTCAATCTATTGAGCCACACCAGCCAGGGCATGAATAGTATTTTAATCTCTTTTTTATTTAATTAGCTTAAATCAGAATATACTATTAATGCATTCAGAGATAGTTTGGGGGTTTCTTTATTATGCTTCACAGTCTTTGGGGCATAGTTCTCATCTTTGTGAAGCCTTTCAGTTCCCTCAAGGCTTGTCTGCTGGCATTCATAGCCTCTGGATGTGGCTCACTTTCTTTTCTAAAAGGTGTTATTCACAGTGGATGCGTTTTTATTAGTAGCAGTTAAAGGTGCTTGGGGTTTTGTTTGTTTGTTTTTGTCTTGTTTTGTTTTTTTAGTTTTCCAGTGCCAGGAAATGCACTACTGATAGTTTTATCCATTGTAATCAGTCTGCTCTTTTAATTTCTCCCATAGAACACTAGACTCCATGATCCCTTATTATGCTGGAGTACCTGGATTGGGCAAATATCTGACAACTGCGTTGCTAAAATTAGGCTTTAGGCTACCTTCAAACTCCAGGATGACTGCTACCACTTAGATAAAAGCAGCATGGTGTTTGCCTCAGGAAAGGATCTAGAGACTTGGCTTTACTGCTTACCATTCTTGTGACCTTACACAAACCACTTAACATCAGTGGGGTTTGCGGGAGCATCCTGGTTCCCGTATTTGTTAAATTTGGGGGTAAGACTGGCTGTTCTCCCACACACTTTCCAGTATGGGATGCCACTGGAACTGGGCCATTCCTAGCCACTTTGCTTTAGTTGGAGGTACAGATGGCAGTTCTTGGCCTTATACTAGTTCACATCCATTCATAGGAGCTAAAAGTGGGCTAAAGCTAAGGCACTAGTGTGAACTCCAGTCATCTTGTGGTTCTGTAAAGCCTGTGGCCTCAGGAACTGTGACAACTTCTGACTTACTTTAGGTATGAGAGGGTCATCAAAGCTTCTACAGGTCCTAAAGTTAGGAAGTAAAGTTCTGGAGATTTGAACTTAGTTCTAAATTCATGTTCTTTTTTCTGTATCCCTTGCTTCCTCCACAGAGTAAAGGTAACAACACTGATGATTTTATTATCTTTGATGGAGTAGAGATATAACTTATAAAAAACAGAAATTACAGTAGGAACATAAAAGAACCCTCTGACAGCTATCACATGAAATATTTTCTTACTGATTTTTCCAGATATCCTTAAGCCATTATAAAAGTGTATAAAAACAGGTACAGTGTAAAGAATAATTATAGATTAAAACTCATGTGGCCACCACCCACATTAACAAATAGCATTGCCAGCACCCCAGGACTGTGTACCTCTCCCTCTCCCCTAGAGGTAACCATCATTCTAACTTGAGATAGGCATTTCCTTGCTTTTCTTTGCAATTTTACCACCTATGATCTATCCCTAAACAATATGGTTTAGTTTTGCCTGTGTGAGGTTTTTTTGTAAATGAATTGAATATATATAAAGAAGCAAAATACAAAAGTACATATTTTGCTTCTTTTGTTCAGTATTATGTTTGTGAGATCCATCCATGTTGTGTATAGCTAGAGTTCATTCATTTCCATTGCTTTATTTTATTCTATTGTATGGATAGACTACAATTTATTTATCCATCCTACTGATGATAGATGTTTGGGTTGTTTCCAATTTTGGGTTGTTACAAGTGTACTATTCTGAACATTTTTATACATGTCTCCCAGGGCACATGTAGAAATTTCTCTGGATATGTACATAGGAATGGAATTGCTGGTCAGAGGATATGCATATTTTCAGCCAACTGTGATTATTAAATTTAATTTTAACCCATACATTTTTAATGGAAATTTAAAGTCTTTTGTCTTCATCTAAAAAGGTTTGTCTTTCCTATAGAAAAATGCAAGAATGGCAGCAGAAAAGCATTATTCTAACACCCTAAAAGCACTAGGAATATCTGATGAGTTTGTTTCAAAGAAAGGCCAAAGTGGAAAAATATTTGAGTCCTCCAATCAAGAGATGAAAAGTTTCACTGAAGATAGAGAAAGGTAACATATATAAGATATAAGATATGAGTGGTATATCTCTGCAAAAATTTATACCTGCAGAAAAGCAAGAATTCTGTTCTATAATATTTTTAAAAGATCTTTATTACCTAATGAAATATGTGTGATCTATTGTAAAACATTGGTATTTTAATATGTTTGACCCATTCAATATATTGCATGGTGATGAAATACCTTGTTTTTAAGACAGAATAATTTAAGCTTCTGACTGGAATAAATCATGAAAATAATAGCATGCTTTCAAATGAAGTTTAAAGAGTCAACCAAGCTGTGAAATACATTAGTTCTCAGAGAAATATTTACTTTCCCAATTGGTACTTTTATAGAGCTTTCTTAATAAACTGGAGCTCATACACTTGAGGAAGACTGACTTCATGATGTCATACATTGCAAAGGATTTGTTTACATTTAAACCAAATCATTTTTTCCTTTGAAAGATTGATAAATTTCTTCCTTTAGCTTTAATGAAGAAGAAAATATAGAAGAAAGAGAGAATGGGGAAGAAAATTATTTTACAGAAACCGACAGCCAGGATTCTTGTATGGAAAAAGATGAAGCCAATGAAGAGAATAGAGAAGAGAAATCTGTCGAAGAATAAAACAATCAGCAGGGCTTCCTCTCTGTGCCTGTGCTGTGGTTTGCATCTGGTGGTAGCAGCCTTGCTTGTGTTAGGAACATGGATGGGAACCCCTCTGATGTGTACAGGGTTCTTGAGCAAAATCCAAATCCAGCTGATTGATCATTGGGTCAGATTAAGGCTTGGCCTATTCAGTTTTTAAAATTGCTACATGTGGTCAGTTTGCAACTTTGATGTTAGTTGTATTTTTTAAAAGCATTCGAGAATCACAGCTGTCACAAACAAGTCATAAAAATATACATTACATCATTATTTTTTGCTAGAAAAAATGGCTTAATATTGGGAGCAGAGAGGAAGTATGGGTCTTTGGTGATTTGTTTGAAAAATTTTTCTGGAAAGTATGAATCAAATATTTTAAAATTATACTATTTGTCCATTCTTTTCCTATGCAACACATCTCACGAATCCTCAAATTTGTTTTACTAGTTAAGTTTCTTATCTGAGCCATTTTAAAAAAGTAATAAAATATAGAAAAAAATAGATACTTGCAAATTTATATTTATTTCTGCACTGAAAGCTTACTATTATCCACACTATCATCACTTTTTACCTCTAGTTTTATTCCAAATTATTTTTGATATATAAATTATTTTAAAAGCTTTTATACTTATTTTTTAAACTGTGTATTATGACAGATGGAAATAATTATAGCATCTGAATTATAATCTTAATGAATATCAACCCTGTTTTAAATGTGATGAAATTGTGCATAATAACTTGTCCATGGCAAGTTGCCAAAGTAATTCAGACTTATTTATACTAGACCCAGTGGTGTTCAACTTTTTACATAATATTGCAGACATACTTTGTCTTCCTGTGAATGTTAATTTGGCTTTATGAATCTATCATTTTTCCTCTTTGAGCAAATTTTCTATTATAAGAATTCAAATCAGTCATAAAGATGTGACAGGGTGAGACTTTTTATTTTATAAAAACAATCAACTTCCTTTAAAGAGCATGAACTAATAAAGGTGTCTATAATAACAGTGTTTCCCAACTGGAAGTTTATGCTTTAAATGAAGAAATAAGGTGATTTTTCCAATCAAGGGCAAATGTTTACTTGTAATTCCTTCACTATAGTTTGTGTTAAACTATTTGTCTCTATCACTAGATTGTAAACTTGAGAGCTGGCACCATTATAAAATTCATCTTTGTATTCCTTTAATATTTTGCCTAGGACTATATATAAGGTAGGTACCTAATAAAGGTTTGGATGAACAGGTATGATGAATATGTTTTACAATTATAATTACTTCAAAATGAGTACACATGGAATTAAAAACATCCCCCTTCCATTTTATTGAGAACCTGTGAAATCCAATCCACAGAATGTAAGCAAGTCACATTTAAAATATTACATTCTGTCCCTTCTCAGTTTTATGGGGGAGAATTGTAGGGCTTCATTTCAGGAGCAATCTTCAGTTTTCTTTTCTTTAAAAATGAGAATAATATCTATCTTGGGTGGTTATAGGAAAGATTAGACGTACGGAAAACCCCTTTGCAAACTAGGCTATTCAAATGATAGCATCAGAGGACAGAACATTCCTGAAGGAACTTTTAACTTTAAGCACTTTTATTAAAATGAGATACAAAGTGATTTGAATATTATTTTGTTAGAAAAAACATGTGAACCACTTTTAAGACAGTGATCTGGCAAACACAGAGACAAACTTAGAAGACACTGGCAGTTTCAAATCATCCATGCAAAATCACCATTTTTTTTTTTTTTTAGAAAGCCATCAAATTGACAACTGAAAGATTTCTTTAGTGTGTATGACATTACACAATAAGAAGAGATAAAAATTGAGAAGAAAAATAACAAAACGTGGTATATAACATATTGTGCCAAAAGTGAAAGAATAATATGCATGCTTATCTAACTCTGAAAAGATGGTAATGTAAAAAAATGGTGATAGAATTTGCCTCTGGGACAGTCTGGAAGTAGACAGTGGAAGACTTAGTTTTTTGTTTTGTTCTTTCCTTTTCAACATGTATACTAAAAAATAAAAATGAGGCTTTAGCCTTGTTGGAAGGTACTTTCTAGTCATGGATTTATAGTATCCTGATAGCAAAGAAAGAGAAAAATACTTATATCTTTTCCTGATACAAAACAAAACAAAACAAAACTTACTCATTTTATACAGTTTATTTGTATCAGGATCCAAACATTGCAGTTGGTTAATAAGCCTTAAAAGTCTCTTTTTAATACATCTTTTTATTCCCTGCAATATTATTGCTGAAGGGACTGGTCTTTTGTCCTGTAGAGTATCCCATTCTGAATTTTGTCATTTAATGTGTTTCCCAGTTCTCTGTTTCCTATAAATTAGCAGTTATATCTAGGCTTTATCAGATTGAAATATGATGTTTTTGGCAAGAATGCTTCATAGATCATGGTGTGCAATTTCCATTAGGAAGTATATGATGTCTAATGATCTTGTGTGGTGTTATCCACCATTGATCATTGCTACAATTCCTTATGCCAGTGTCTTTCCACTCATTTTAGAACTTGCGAAAGACCACAAAGTCTTAAATGTTACAAAGGAAAAAATGGGGGATAGGGAAATAGAATAGAGGTGGTGAAAAGATACAAACTTCCATTCCTGACTGTGTGGCTCGGTTAGTTGGAGCATTGTCCTATACACCAAAAGGTTGCGGGTTCAATTCCTGGTCAGGGCACATACCTAGGTTGCAGATTCCATCCCCAGTTGGGGTGCATAGAGGAGGCAGACAATTGATGTTTCTCACTCACATCAATGTTTCTCTCTCTCTCTCTCCCCTGCCCCGCACCCCCCCTCAAAAAAAAGAAAAAAAAACAAAAAACTCACTAAAAACATGTCTTTGGGTGAGAATTTAAAAAAAGCTAAATATATAAACAAAAAACACCTTAATAAATATCTCATATGCTGTTGTTTTTTTCTCATTCTAATTTCTTTCCTGATTCTTTATTTTCTTCAAGTTGGAGTTCTAAAAGTCTCATTTCAAGTACTAACTTGCTTTGCTTAATTTTTGTCCTCTGAGCTTTTGTTACCTCATTAGCTTGAGTGCTTTTGGGAAGATGGTTAATACTCTCCTGGAAGAAAGAACACACCACTATCATTTCTAAATTAATTCTACAACTTAACAAAAGAATGTGAAAATCATCTTAGAGATTCTTTTTTTAAAAAAGATTATTTATTTATTTTTTTTTAGAGAGGGGAAGAGAGGAAGAAAGATAGAGAAACATCAGTGTGTGATTGCTTCTTATGTGCCCCGTACTCAGCCCACAACTCAGGCCTGTGCCCTGACTGGGACTCAAACCTGCAACCCTTTGGTTTGCAGGCCAACACCCAGTCCACTGAGCCACACCAACCAGGATCATTTTTTTAAAAAATTTGTATTGAATTTACTGGGGTGACATTAGTTAATAAAATTATATAGGTTTCAGGTGTACAATTCTATAATAGATCATCTGTATATTGTACTGTGTATTCACCACCCAAAGTTAAGTCTCCTCTGTCACCATTTATCCCCCCTTAATCCTCTTCTACCTCCTCCCAGCCCCCTTTCCCTCTGGTAGTCATTGTACTATTGTCTGTGTCTATGGGGTTGGTTTGTTTGTTTTTTTTTGCTTAATCTCTACACCTTTTTTTCTTCAGCTCCCCAACTCCCACCCTTCTAACAGCTGTCAGTCTGTTCTCTGTATCTATGAGTGTTTCTATTTTTTTGTTAGCTCATTTTTTTCATTTCATTCCACATATAAGTGAAATCATATGGTACTTCTCTTTCTTTGACTGGCTTATTGCAAAAGGTAAGATTTTCTTCTTTTTTATGACCAGGTAGTACTCCATTGTGTAAATGTACCACAGCTTTTTTATCCACTCACCTATTGATGGACACTTGGGCTTCTTTCACATCTTGGCTATTGTAATGCTGCAGTGAACATAGGGGTGCATATATTCTTTCAAATTAGTGTTTTGGGTTTCTTTGGATATATTCTCAGAAGTAGAATTGCTGGGTCATAAGGCAGTTCCCTTTATAATTTTTTGAGGTAATTCCATACTGCTTTCCACAGTGGTTGCACCAATCTGCATTCCCACCAACAGTGAATGAGGGTTCCCTTTTCTCCACATCCTTGCCAGCACTTGCTGTTTGTTGATTTACTGATGACAACCATTCTGATAGATGTGAGGCAATATCTCATTGTGTTTTTAATTTGCATCTCTCTGATGATTATTGACTTTGAACATCTTCTCACATATCTGTTGGGCAGCCATATGTCCTCTTTGGAGAAGTGTCTATTCAGGTCCTGTGCCCATTTTTTAATTGGATTGGTTTTTTTTAAATGTTGAGTTGTGTAAGTTCTCTATAAATTTTAAATTAACCCCTTATCAGATATATCATTGGGGAATATGTTCTTCCCTTGCCCAGGGAGACATATCAGAAAAGAAATTGCTATGAGAAATGTCTGAGATTTTACTGCCTATGTTTTCTTCTAGGCTTTGTATGGTTTCAAGTCACATTTTCTAACATTTAAGTGTTTAATAAATTTTGAGTATTAAAACATTATTGAGTATTATTCTTGTGTGTTGTGTAAGAAGGCAGTCTAGTTTCACTTTTTTTCATGTATCTGTCCAATTTCCTCAACACCATTTGTCAAATAGACTATCTTTACCCCATTGCACGTTCATGCCTCCTTTGTCAAATATTAATTGACTATAAAGGCGTGGGTTTATTTCTGGGCTCTCTGTTCTGTTCCATTGATTTATATGTCATATATGTTATACCAGTACCATGTGCTTTAATTACTATGGACTTGTAATATAGTTCTGATATCAGGTAGCATGATTCCTCCAACTTTGTTCTTCTTTCTCAAGATTGCTGGAGCTATTCAGAGTTAAGATTTGATTCTTTCAAATAAGGTTTGGAAGGCAAATTGCTTTGGTGTGAGGCCAGGTAGCTCAGTTTGTTAGAGCATCGTCCTGATATGCCAAGGTTGTGGTTTTGATATCGGGTCTGGGCACATACAGGAATCAACCAACAAATGCACAAATAATTGGCACAACAAATCAATCTCTCTCTCAAAATCAAGAAATTAAAAATTTAAAAATTCTAAAAATCTTGCTTTCAAGTGGAAAGTACATACACATGATTTAAACTTTTCAATATCAATTACTCATATCTTCTTTCCCTAGATTTTCTCTAAATAAAATCTGAGAATTGGTATTAAAATTTCAAGACCATTAGTTTTTTTTATCTGATTTTAAGGCATAGTTAATTTTCTCATTCCCCAGGTATTTAAAATGAACAGCCTTGACCAGATGGCTGAGTTGGTTGGACCATTGTCTTGTACA